GAACTATTGGAGGAGAAGAAACTGCAGTCGATTGTGTGACCGTCAAGCATAATATGTTGGAAGCAATAAGTAACTCAGAACAGGTACTTTTCGATTTTCAAACTTATTTTTGATCTTTGTGTAGTCTCCACCGAGCTTTTTTTGCACATATCCGTCTGTTTTACAGTATGAAATGGTTGTGGACATCGTGAACAATCTAGTGCTTTTCGTGGATCCCAAAAAGAAAGAACTTGCGGAACAAAGGCGAAAACTACGATTTGCTTGTCAAATTATCGACATGAAAGAGATGCGACAGCGAATTGTAGAGCAGCAGGTATGATATGATCCATCTTCTCACTTCTCATAAAATTCTTCCATGTTCAGTGTGAACTCCGAGAGATTGTATCAGTTGTGCGATCTTTGGAACGACAGTTGTTCTATATGGATTCTCAATCCAACGGAGATGTTGATGATCAGAAACGTCGAGAAATTGTAGATGAAATGGAAGATGTGAAAGCAAAACAATTGGAGGTGTCGGATAAGTTGGCGATATACATCAGGTGAAAAGAATTCGTTTTTTGCCTCAAGCATCTTATCCACTACCGTAAGCTACCGTAACCTTACCTTATTTCAGTTGCTATAAACAGCGTCAAGTAGAGGCAGCCCGTGCTACTGGTTTTAATAAACTAGAAGAAGAAGATGGTGTAGCTGCTGTTGCAAGAAGATTCGAGGTGAATTGAACTTTTTGAATCTCTTTACTTACAATTTTGTAATTCATACTGGGTTGTGCACATTTCTCGGGTCTTCAAAAATTCATAGATTGTTGTTTCCTTCGACTTTGCAAAATTCTGTCCCTAGGTATGCTTCGAAGATTGCATCTGGAAATTGACTGAAAGCGATGGTCAGATTTCCATAGCTCAAATACAAATTCGAAACTTCTTGTGAGTTGTTATTGTTGATTGTCGGACAGAAATGAAAACGGGTGTTTAGGTACACAAGAACTATGCGAATAGATAACTCGGGTGAGCATCTGTTTGAGGTAAGGTTTCTGCAGTTGTTGGAATAAAGTGTAGCTTGGTGGAATATGCATGTTCTAGGTCGGTACGATACGGGTCACAAACCTTATCCCGGACACTATTTATAAGGATACTTTGCACAGGTTTGTTTTGCTCTATACCGTTTTGGAAGTTGCGTATTGGAATTGAACATGATCGCAAGTATTGTAGTCTGTCTCAATGAGGATGTCGTAGCTCTAGCGGTCCGT